CGACCCTGGGTTGGGGTGAGATGGAAAGACGTTCACTGCCACATGGCGACCGCAAAGTGACTCCTTTACCCCTGGCGGATCTCGGTGGAGGCGAGGATGAGCCCTCCTCTCCACTACCTGAAGGGGATCGCAGCGACTAGGCAGCGGGGCTGGGGGTACCAAGGGTTCTGAGCTTCTTGTCTAGGGGGCCAGCTGAGGCTCCTGGGAGGAAGCCCCAGAAGAGGGATGCAGGGGTGAGTAGATCCACTCGGTCCCCAGCAAGAGGCAGTCAACTCTCTCATGCGGGAGAAGTTGGGCTGCCCCTCGTGCCCCTCCCCAGCTGTTTTCTTCTCCTGAGCTGGGGGAAGGGATGGGCCACCTGCTCTGAGTCTGGAGCCCCCAGGGTGGCAGGAAAACCAAGGGGTGCCTCATTGTCCCATCTTGGAATCATCATCCCCCCCAAATACTCTTCTTTTGGGGCAGGTGCCCATTCTGTTCCTAGGCCTCTCTTCCTCCTGGCAGGCAGGAAACAGCCTCTTCTCCTTAAGGAAACTGAGGCACAGAGTGCAGGCAGGTCTGAGGGACCCCACTTGGGCTGGCCTTGCCCTCACACTGGAAGAGCAGCCAGATAGGAACACTGACCTGGGGTCTGGAAGAGGGAACAAGATGGCCAGGCCTCCATGCCACAGTACTGCAGCACTGGCGGGCAGCCAGGCCTGGAGGGATGGACGCGGGAGACAAGCTTGTGTCCTCCAGGTCAGTCACAGGAGAGGCCAGCACAGGCTCAGCAGGCAAGCGGCCCACCCTTTGTCCCAACCCTGCCCCTGGGGGGCTGAGATCATGGGAGGAGTTCTGGGCAAGTGGCCGGCTTGGCCCGGTGGAGGAGCTAGCTTTAGGATATATCCCTGCCAGGGGAGAGGCACAACCCACCCCAAAACACCTCCCTTGCCCTCCAGTCTGGGGGTGTTGTCTACCACCATCCCATTTTCTCCTAATCCTCCAAAAGCAGAGCTCTGGTGGCCCTGTGCTGGGGCCACACAACCACTAGCTGCCCCACATCCTGCTCAGCAGAAGCCTGGGCTCCCACGCCCCTGGCAGCATCCATGTGGCCAAAGTGAGTTATTAATCACTGGCGTGCGTCACTCCCATCTGGGTTGTGTGTGGGACACACACACACACAGATGCACACATGCACACTCACACATACACACGCATTTGCTCACTCCCAAGGGCCCAGAGAGCATTTGTAAAAGGGGTGTGAAGATTACATCCTGCAAAAAGGGGCAAGAATGCCCCCAGCACCCAGGACAGAACCAGAGGCAGAGTGAAATCTCAAGGTTCAGGGCATATCCTGAACTTAGGGTCCAGAAGGAGAGGTGTTTGGGGTAAAATTGCTGTCTAGGCATAGGGGGTTTTACACTGCCCTCCCTTACCTTGACTCCTAATGGGGGGATGGGGAGAGGTTGGGGGGAGCTCACTCCTGGGGGGTAGGGCCTCTGAAATGGACCACAGCCCTGGCTCTGGGAGCAGGGGACCCAGGAAGTCAGGTTGTGTAGTGGGAAAGGCCAGTGTTGCCCTGGTTGTGGTATGACTCGCTGGGCAACCACACACAAGTTCCTGCTTCTCTCTGGTCCTCTTGGAAAGAAGAGGAGATTGGGCTCAACCATATCTAGGATACTCAAGGCCTTTCCAGCTCTAACATCCTGAGTGTGATTGTCCTCGGGGGTCTGCCTGCCCACAGACCCCACCCCCAGCAGTCCCCAGGATCTTCCTAGAGCCAAATTCCAGCTTCCACCTCACCTTAGGCCAGTTTCCCTAAGAGTTTGTGTTAGTATCACAGTTACCTGCCAGTGCTGCTCTGTTGGACCAGGGGACCCAGAGAGCGGTATGTGTTGATTGACGGAGTCAGAATTCCTGTCTTCACGAAGCTTACAGTCTGGGGCCATGTCTGTCTCCAGGGCTTGGAGCTGGCAAGATATGTCTATTCCTAGTCTTCCCCCTCCTTCCCAATCTTGATTCCCTGTAAATTCACCAGCTCCACATGCCGAGGCTCAGAGACCTCGGATCCAGTGGGATCTGGGTATGGATTCTGATGCCTCTGCCCATCCTTGCCAGGGTGTGGTAGGTGCTTCGGGAGGTGCAGCTCAGGGCGAGGCTGTGGATGGAGAGGCAGGCTGGGGGAGCTGAGGGATGAAGACCAACCGAAGGGTTTGAATTTAGGTATGGTTTCTGCTGGAGAAGGACGGTGGCCCAAGCAGGAAAAGGTGGGTAGGCAGGGGTTGAAAACGGAAAGGGCCTCAGGGAGGCTAGGACAATTCCCAGCAAGGTGTGATGTCTAGAACAGTGTCTGGGAACCAGGGTCCCTGGGCTCTGCCTCAGTTAATCATCTGTGAATGAAGAGTGACAGACCCTACTTCTCCAAGGGCTCTTTGTTCCCCGGGTGGGTTAGGGTAGCCTGGGACAGGTGGTGGGACAGCTGTTCTGGGATGCAGCTGTCAGGGCTGGGGCTGGGGCAACAGTTGGGCCAATAGCTCCCAGCTCCACAGCCCACCTGTGTCTTTCTGGAGTTGGTGAGAGGGGGGTTTGGGAAGGGGAGGGGCTGGGGGCCATTTGGCCCTGGCAACAACTTGTGCCCACCTCCTGTGGCTGGGGCCGGACATTCCCTCCCTTCCTCCTTCTCCTGCCCACCCTCTCCCCTTTTCTTTCCCTCCTCCCTCCTTCTTCTTTCCTTCTCTCTCCCCCATTCTTTCCTCCTTTCCCCTCGTCTCTCCATCTTCCCTCCCCCTCCTTCCTTCCTCCCTCTTTCTCTCCTCCTCTCCTCACCTCCTTCATTTCCTCTTCTTTCCTTAACTTCTCCCCTTTCTCTGGTCTTAGTCTCTTCTTCCTCCCCTCTCCCTGTTTCTCCCTCAGTCTCCCCCCTCCCTTTCTCTTCTCCATCTGGCTCCCACTCCTGCCTCCCCTCCTCACAGTCCCCAGCCTTCTGCCTTGGCAGTAGAGAAATGGGAGTTTAGGGAAGGGTCCGAGCCCTTCTGAACCTCAGGGAGAAGCCCTTCTTCCTTGGCCCAGGCCTCTCCTCCAGTGGCTCCCCAGTCTGAGTGTGCATCCTAGTAGGAAGCATCTGTGTTCCCTTCCGTGAGATGGATGCTATGCCACTGCTGCTTGGGGAGGAAGAGCCAGAGCAGAAAGAGGTAGGGAGGAGGAGGAAGGAGGAAGGCTGCTAGGTCAGCTTTCTGCGAAGCTAAAGCAGAAGGGAAGGCCGGCAGTCCCAGGAGGCCTCAGCTAGAGTGGAGGCAGCCTAGGGGTTGGAAGGCCAGGAGAGCACAGCCACCCTGAAGCCCAAGTCTCAGCGAGAGTGACTGCAGTGACCTCATCCCCATTTCAGAGAGGCGGAGATTGAGGCTGAGGGTGGATCCCCCTGGTCCTTTGTGTTTGAAAAGAATGCCGCGCTAGGGTGGGCTGGTCCCGTGCCAATTGCTGGGTTGCCATGGTTACCGGGGGATGCCCAGAGCTGTGGGAGCACCAGGTTCTCTCTCTTCCCCTCTCTCCTCTCTGGGCGGGAGGGATGGCAGTGCTAAGACACGCGCCAGGTAGGTTCTGCTGGCCAATGGGGGATGAGGATCACGGTAGCCAGGGAACAGTAACCAAGGAACCGTCGCCTTGGAATCTCCATTGCACACCCGCTTCACTGGGTTGTAGGCTGCCAGGGCCAGGGCCCGGATGCACTGAGCTCGTCCAGGCAGCTATTTCTCTCTCCCTTCCCTGCTCTGCACCTGACCCAGGCCTCCGCTGGGCTCCATGGAGACAACAGGAGCCCTCCCCCATCCTGTCCTGCCTGCTCCTTGTCCCTCTCCCTCCCCAGAAACATCCCCACCCAAAATTGGCAGCTTGGGCCCTAACAGTTGGAAGAGCCACCCCTCCCTCTCTCCAGGGCTCTGTACACATATGAGGATGGCTCAGATGACCTCAAGCTCGCAGCATCAGGAGGTAAGAATTCCAGCCATTCCTTCTCCTTCCTCCCCGCCCCTCCTCCACTTGTTTTCTTTCCCACCCGCCTGGCTTGGGGCCACCTTCCTGCCCACATCCAGCAGATCCACATTTGTCTGGCTGATGTCCTTCCTCTGGTCATCGCTGCTGTCATCCCTGTGATACTCGGTGGGGGGGGGGTCTTGTTTCCTGTTTGGCTTCTGAGAAGACTGAGCCACAGAGAGGGAAAGTGACTTGCCCAAGGTCACACAGCTAGGAGGGCAAGGGCCTAACAGGGATGGCCCAGATCAGCCCCACTTTCTCCATAGGCGGAAGGTTTTATTTTACCTCGCTGGGCACTAGCACCTGGTGAGACATGGAGGATGTGTGAAGAAAACACCCCTTGCTCCCAGTCCAACCCCAGCTCAGGCCCTGGAGGATTCAGAGGCAAAGCAGATCCTGTGTGCCCCCTCCCCCCGCCCAACACACCAACACAAAACTCTGTCTGGGACCTCCAGATCTCAGAGGCCCGAAGACTCCTAGGGGTGCCTGCAGAGCCTGCGAGGAGCCTTTCCTTCAGGTTCCAGGCCCTTTGTAGAGTAAGAGTTTAGGAAATAGGGAGTCCTGACACCCTCCTGATTCCCCCAGAAGGGGGCTTACAGGAGCTCTCCGGCCACTTCGAGAACCAGAAGGTGATGTACGGCTTCTGCAGCGTCAAGGACTCCCAGGCTGCTCTGCCTAAATACGTGCTCATCAACTGGGTATGCAGCTGTGGGCTGGGGAAGGGAGCTGAAGGCCTGGAGCAGTCGCCCTCTACCCCTCCCCCGCCCGCTGACACAGTTCTTTCCAAAGAACCTCACTAGGCCTGGGGAACATAGCCTGGGGCCTCAGGCTGCTGCCCCTCTTGCTCCTTCCTGACCCGCTCTTCGCTGGGTACTTTGCAGGTTGGTGAAGACGTGCCTGATGCCCGCAAGTGTGCTTGTGCCAGCCATGTGGCTAAGGTGGCTGAGTTCTTTCAGGTGTGTGTGACGCCAGGGCTGAGGGTCGGGCAGCCACCCAGGGCTAGTCTGTGTGCTGGGGGTGGTGACAGGAAGGGGCCACAATGCAGCCTGAACACTGTTTTCTTCTTTCCGAAGGGCGTCGATGTAATCGTGAATGCCAGCAGTGTGGAAGACATTGATGCCGGTGCCATCGGGCAACGGCTCTCCAACGGGCTGGCGCGGCTCTCCAGCCCCGTGCTGCACCGGCTGCGGCTGCGGGAGGATGAGAATGCCGAGCCTGTGGTCAGTGTGTCCCAGGCACCCGTGGCCTGGCCCCTGAGTCTGGCCTGTCCAGTCCCTCTTAGCCCTCCCCCTTAGCGTGTGTGTGCAGGGGCGCTCTGTGCCCATGCTAGGTCATTTGACCCTGCAGGGCACCACCTACCAGAAGACTGACGCGGCTGTGGAGATGAAGCGGATTAACCGTGAGCAGTTCTGGGAGCAGGCCAAGGTGCAGAACCCCAACCTGGCCTTCTGGCTGAGCTGCCCCTCCCTGACCCCATGGGGAAGCTCTGAGTCTCTCACGTCAACAGTGTGTCCCATCCCACATGCTCTCCAGCTGAAAGAGTGAGCCCATTTGGCCTTATGCCCATGGGGCTCATCCCTTGAATTTCCAGAACTGCTACCTCTCTGGCCCTGGGTTAGTGGTGGGATGGAGGGGCAGGGGCCAGGCCCCCAGGCTGAGGGCCTACACTTCCTCGGCACTGGGGGGTTGCAGAAGGAGGAGGAGCTGAGGAAGGAGGAGGAACGGAAGAAGGCCCTGGATGAGAGACTCAGGTTTGAGCAAGAGCGGATGGAGCAGGAGCGGCAGGAGCAGGAGGAGCGTGAGCGGCGCTACCGGGAGCGAGAACAACAGATCGAGGAACACAGGTGAGTGCGCCCCGCCTGGGCAGATGGCTCCAGGGTCCCCAGGGTCCCGTGGGCCCACCCTGAAGGGGGGTGCTTGCTGGCTTTTCTTTCCAGGAGGAAACAGCAGACTTTAGAAGCTGAAGAGGCCAAGAGGCGGTTGAAGGAGCAGTCTATCTTCGTAAGTTCTTTGTCAGGGCTCCCAGTCTCCTGGTCAGGGAAGTGAGGATGGTCCCTGAGTTCCTGGGCCTTGTGGGGAGATCAGAGGCTCGGGACAGTGCTGGGTGTCCTGGGGACCTGCTTGGAATGGGGTGTCATGGAATATTAGGACTGGCACCCCATCATATTGGGCTCTGCCCTCTGGCTATGGAAAAAGACTTGCTTGGAGAAGCTTGTAGAGATCTAGAAGAGAAAATCCACCTTGACCCTCACTGGCCAGGCCTCCCCCTCTCCCCTCCCCAGTGGGGTCTAGGGGAATGGGGGGACTTAGACACAGTTCCTGCACTTTGGGGGCTTGAGGCCTGATCCCTGCAACAATAGTGCTGCAGAGCATCTGAATGAATCTGGGCCAGTGCTCTGAACACCTGTATCCAACTGTGCGGTGTCTCCTTTGGAGCATCCCCCTCGTTCCAGGGGTGCTCTCTGAATCTCCAAACATTGGAGATGGCCCATAGGTCCCGTGGATTGGTCCCTGAAAATCACAGTGCAGTCAAGTCTTTGTGCTTTGCGTTGAATTTAGTATTTCAGAAATAGCTAAGGTCATTCAGGACGGAACATAGTGCAATTTGGGAAGGGAAGTGGGGTGATACTCCTCTGGACTGGGACTATGATGAGCTGTGAGGATGTTGGACTGTGGGGCTCAAACCAGCTCCAGGGTGATACCCACAGGAGACTGGAAAGAAGGAGGCAAGACAGTCCTGTAGGCACTGGCATTAAATGGCTGTCATAGGTCACTCCAGTCATATCTGCTGCTGGATGGGGCAGAGGTGATGTGCAGTTGGTAAGTCCAGCCTCAGTAATTAATTCAACACAAACACTTACCACCTGCCATGTGCCAGGTATTGGAAACATTGTGAAGAACAAGGTGGACAAGATGTTTTTTTTTAAATTAATGGATTCATTTATTTAATTTTTTAATTTTTATTATAACATAGTTGATTGTACATATCTGTGGGGTACAGAGTTGAATATCAATACCTGTGTGCAATATGTGATTATTACATTCAACAGTATACACTGTCATCGCTATTTGTGGTCCTTTACCAATTCCACCCCCGTCCCCGTTTATTTGTTTTTAATTGTGGTAAAATATACATAACATAAAATGTATCACTTCAACCATTTTTAAGTTTATGGTTCAGTGGCATTAAGTACATCACATTGTTCTGTGACCATCACCACCATCCATCCCCAGAACTCTTTCCATCTCGTAAGACTAAATATACCCATCGAATAACAACTCCCCACTCTCCTCTCCCCGCACAGCCCCTGGCAACCACCATTCTACTTTCTGTCTCTATGAATTTGACTACTTTAAGTATTTTATATTACTGAAATCCTACAGTATTAGTCCTTTTTTTTGTCTGTCTTATTTCACCTCAAAGTTTAAAATAATACATTTTTAAGAAAAGATTTTTTTTTTGAAAAATGTTCACTTTTCCTGTGTTTTTTTTTTTTTTCCTTTTTGTCTTTTTTTCGTGACCGGCAACGGATCGCAACCCTCAGTGTTGTGCCCGTATCGGACCGGGACCGGCAACGGGATCGCAACCCTCGGTGTCGCGTCCGCACCTCGCTCAGCCAGTGAGCGGCAGGTCTGTATGTGGGATCCGAACCCTCGGCGGGAGCGCCACCGCGCTCCCTAGTGGCGCACTGTAGCATGCGCCACCGGGTCGGCCCCATGAATTTCCTTCCTTTTTAAGGATGAATAATATTCTTTTAAAAAAATATATATACCAAATGTTGTTTATCCATTCAGAGTAATATGTTTTTGAAAAAGCTTAGTTTTACAGAAAATTTCAAATACACACACACACACACACACACACACACACACGTAGTATAGTGAACCCCCTGAACTGATCACTCATCTTCACCAATTAACACTTCAGGCAAAATCTGATGGAGCTCACACCATTATTTTATAGTCCCATCTGGCCCTTCAAGTGTAGCTTGTGTGACAGTGACATTTCTAGCAGGTTAGAGTGGTGATCTTGCAACTTCAGGTCTTCTAAGGAAGATCCCACATAAGAAACTTCAGGATTTAGCACCATGAAATGCTTTCTCACACCTGTTAATAAGAACTTTGTTTCTTATCTGGGTTTCCTGTTTGCTTGGGCTGCCAGGGAGCTCCCAGTTATCAGAAAATGCTTAGGGGCCAAGCCCGTGGCGCACTCGGGAGAGTGCGGCGCTAGTACACCAAGTCAAGGGTTAAGATCCCCTTACCGGTCATCTTTAAAAAAAAAAAAAAAAAACAGTTTAAAAAAAAAAACAAAAACAATGCTTTTGGCACTTATGATTACTGTATTGATCTCTCTTTCCCACCTACAGCCTTAACTTATTTCAGTGTTGTTCACACGGTTGTAGTAGAGCCTTTGTGGTAAGATGCTTCTGGTCTTTTTTGTGAACAAGCCAGAGGAACCTAGTGAGACTACACTAGGCAGGGGGCAGAGAACCAGCAAAGGCTGGCAGGATGTATGTTTATGGGAAGGCACGGAGTCTGGCCTGACGGGAGCCCCGTGGCTGAGGAGCAGGAGACATTTGATTGGGAAGAGAGCAAGGTTAAAGGAGTTGAGACTTCGTTCTGGAAGACATAAAGTTATCATTGAAGTGACAGTGCTCTTGAGGGGGAATTACTATGAAAGGCCGTTCTCCTAGATTCTGCTGAAAAACAAAGAAGCCCTGTTACTTCGCCACCGTACCTGTAGCTTTTTCTCCCCCCCAACTACATGATTTGCCACTTGAGCAGCAGGGGACGCCAAATAAGAGGCTTTTGTTGTAGTGAGTTCAGTTGAGCCAACATGTACCAACCTTGTGCGAGCCACTGACACACAGACCTGAGTCCTCATCCTGTGTCACTCACGGGGTGGGGGAGTGACACCAGAAACAGGAGATTATGATATAGTGTAATCTATGGTGAATACCAAGAACAGCGGGGGAAGACTCAGGGAAGGAAATGACCTGAACGGACTAGGGACCTCTTCCCCAGAAGGCAGTGCCCAAGCTGAGGCTGGAAGTAGGAGGGGTTGGACCTGGGTGCGGTCAGGCGTTTGGGAGAGAGAAGTTGATCTCCCATGCCAACGCATGGAGGCAGGGAAAGGTATGCGTGTTCTAGAAACTGTGAGTCCTTCGTGCTGAGGACTTTTCTGTCTGCATCTCACAGAGTACGTGGGCAAGTTGGGGTGGAGATGGGGGTGGTGTTGAGGTGACAGGGGCTGGGAAGGGTAACGTGGGCTAGGCAGGGGCCCTGCCTACTTGTACTCCTGTGCTGCAACCTTAAAACGTGGAGCAAGGAGGGCAGGTGAAGCGTGGATGGGCACGGCGGGGCTGCGGGGAGCGCACGCCAGAGCGAGGGCAGCTGTAGGGCAGCTCTGGCCAGGGTTGCTTCTCGGGGCGTGTGGGTTAGTGTGGCCAGGGCTTCTGGCATCACAAGAGAAACTGGGATCCTCATTTCAGTATGAGAATTTCCTGGTTTTTAATGGTGGCAACCGATTCCCGTGTTTTAGAAACATCATACCGGTAAAGCAACAGCCGTCTGTAGGCCATATTCAGCCAGGGCGTGCTGAAGCCCCTGAGGGAAAAAATCATGGCCTGATCTGAATTTTGGAAAGGTCTTTTCAGGGCCTTTAGAGAGCAAATTAGGGGAGGAGAGTAGGGAGGCAGGGGACTAGCCAGGAAGGCTTGGCTGTGACGCCTAGGTCCAGGCGGCAACAGTGGGAGCATGGAGACCTAGGTACTGGGCTGGGAGGTCCGAGAAAAGTTAGCTAGAAAACAAGCAGTGCTCCTGGGTGGCCCTGAGTGCCTGGTTAGATATGGGGTGAGTGAGCTGGGTGCCCAGGGGCCTGGCCAGGCTGGAGATGAGATGACTGAGGGCCAGGGATGGAGAGAATGGGCAGTGTGAAAGGGTGGTGAGGGTGGCAGAAGTGCCACCTCTGAGACCCTTTTTCCCAGATTGTGGAAGAGACATGAAGGCTGTAAGAAGGCCAAGAGCCTCTGTGGGAGTGGGTGCCCAGGACACTGTCCCTTTGGTTTGCAGGGTGACCAGCAGGATGCAGAAGAAGAGACCCAGATGAAGAAGTCAGAATCGGAGGTAGAGGTGAGAGCTGGGCACAGGGTAGGTGAGGCAGGCAGGCACTAGCCTGGCCCTGACCCTTTTCTTGTGCCCTCAGGAGGCAGCGGCCATCATTGCCCAGCGGCCTGACAACCCACGGGAGTTTTTCAAGCAGCAGGAACGAGTTGCATCAGCCTCTGTAGGCAGCTGTGATGTGCCCTCACCCTTCAACCACCGACCAGGTAGTCCCAGGCCCCACCCCCCTCCAACCCTCACGCCTCAGGTTATGGCCCTGAGCCTCCTTGGGACTCTTTCTTGGAAAGGAAGCCTTACCCAAGGACCCCTTGGAGAAGGCGAGACCCTCCATGCAGTATGCTTTCCGCCCACCACTTGACAGGTGGCAGGACCCTGAGAAGGGCCAGGAGTGATGTCGGTGTTGGGTCTTGGCTGAGCAGTGGGTCATGCTAGAGACCAGTTGGGCAGCTCTGGCATGGGCTAAGGCATGCCACTGGCCACAAGGAGCAGCCCTGCCGGGTTGAACCAGGGCCAGCCTGAAGGGCCGTGGGTGCATGTGGGTAGGGCTCCTGTGCTGGCCCTGAGTTTGAGCGGTCTGGAGCCGCACCCGGGGTTCCCTGTTTGGCTTCTCCCCATGCAGCTTCTACCTCCTCTGAAGCGCTCTTCCACTCCCTGGGTGCTGGTCTGAATGTGTTTGCACTGGCCGTGTGCTTGGCCCGGGGCTGGGGTCCCTGGATATGCTGCTGCTCAGAGCAGCTGGCTGTGTGTAGCAGGCTCCTTGCTGTGCGTGTCTGTGCTGGTGGGAGGTGTTGGATGGCTTGAGGCTGTGGCCCAGCTTGGCTGAGTGTGCACCCTGGCTGAAGGCAGTTTGGACATCCAGGGCCAGCCCTGGGGGCGGGTGAGGCCTTGTGGAAGGGGTGGGGGAGACTGACCCTCTCTTGTCCTCTGTCTCTTTCTCTGTCTGTCTCTCTCGGCAGGTCGTCCGTACTGCCCTTTCATTAAGGCATCGGACAGTGGGCCTTCCTCCTCCTCCTCTTCCTCCTCTTCCCCTCCACGGACTCCCTTTCCCTATATCACCTGTCACCGCACCCCAAACCTCTCTTCCTCCCTCCCATGTAGGTAGCAGCCGTAGGCCTCGCCGGGGGGGGGTAAGGAGGGCCCCGCTTCCCAGCAGCCCCCCTGCCCTCACTCCCCCAGCCTAACCACTGATCTCTGGTGTTTGTCCCCAGAGCAGGTACTGCCTGCCTCTTGCCCTTGGCCCTGCAGGGGCACTGGCCCCCAGAGGCCTGGCTTACAGGGTCTGGAGCTGTGGTCTGACCCCTGGGGGACCTGGGGAGCTCCCAGCCCCCACTCAGACTCCAGAGAGGAAGTGCTGGCCAGGCCCCATGGTGGACAATCCTGGTCCCACCTGGCTCCCCCGCCCTCACTAACCAAACTGGGGGTTTGTTTCATAGGCAGCCACCTGGACAGCCACCGGAGAATGGCGCCCACTCCCATCCCTGCCCGGAGCCCATCTGACTACTCCAGCACAGCCTCCACCCCTGTCTCTGAGCAGATCGAGCGGGCCCTGGATGAGGTCACGTCCTCGCAGCCTCCACCACTGCCACCGCCACCCCCACCAGCCCAAGGTGAGAGGGGCCCTGCCTGCACTGGGACTCCCATCAATGCTTGGGCTGGGAACCCTAGGTTGCCTTGGTAACAACTCCCCAGGGATCTGGGCCATCCATTACCAAGACTGCAGTGCCCTGGAAGTGGCTGTGGCCCAGAGGAGCCCTGGTGTTGCAGTCAGACCTGCCCTCTCTGAACCTCAATGTCTGTCTCTGATGTGGGAATGGGGTCCTCCTCCTGGGGCTGCTGCGTGGTTTAAAGACACTAGGTAAAGAGATAGTGGGCTGCAGTTGGTGCTGAAAACCCTGCATGGAAGTCTTAGTGGAGGTGTTCAACTGCCTCACTCCTCAGTGGGTGGGCAGGGTATCAGAGAGTGGCTGCCCAGGGTCTCCATCCTTCCCCGAGGGAGCTGATTTCATCTGTCTCCTCCATCTGTGCTGTGACAGAGACCCAGGAGCCCAGCCCCAGCCTGGACAGTGAAGAGATCAGCAAGGAGGCCAGAGCAGCAACCCCTCAGGCCTGGGCCAGTCCCTTGGAGGAGACCCCTCAGGCTCGGGAGCCTGCCCAAGGGCAAGCCAGCCCCACAGAGGACTTGATGTTCATGGAGTCTCCAGAGCAGGCTGTCCTGGCTGCCCCTGTGGAGTCTGCCACAGCTGACACCACTGCAGCCGACACCTCAGTAGCTGATGCTGATGCAGCTGACACCACTGAAACCACCGCTGCCACTGCTGACACCACCATTGCCAACAACATCACCCCTGCTGCTGCCAGCCTTATTGACCTATGGCCTGGCAATGGGGAAGGGGTCTCTGCACCCCAGGCTGAGCCCAGGGCCCCACCACCACCCTCAGGTGCTGAAGTCACTCTGGCGGAAGTGCCCCTGCTGGACGAGGTGGCTCAGGAGCCACTGCTGCCAGTGGGCGAAGGCTGTGCCAACCTTCTCAATTTTGATGAGCTGCCTGAGCCGCCAGCTACCTTCTGTGACCCAGAGGAGGAAGTAGTAGGGGAGCCCCTGGCTATCCCCCAGGCCCCAATTCTGCCTTCAGCTCTAGAGAACCTGGAGCAGGAGCAGGAGCCAGAACCAGAGCCAGAGCCTCACCTGCTGACCAATGGCGAAACCATCCAGAAGGAGGGGACACAGGTGGGGCAGGGGCAGCCTGGTGGGAGGGGTGGTAGTCAGGGCTTAAGCAGGGAGCTGACCTTGTATTCTTCAGGCTTGCAGCAGTACCCCCCTTTCTCTGTGACCCACATTATTGGGGGGAAGCTCCATTCCACTCCCCTTCCCTAGGCCAGCTCTGCTTTTGTTCCCAAGGCAGGCATCTGTTTCCCTGGCAACCACTGCTGGAATCACTTGTTGTTATGGCAACAGGCTCAGGCCTGATAGGTCAGCCCTAGTCCTGCTGGGTGGAGCCCAGTGACCTGGTACTTTCCCCCTGCAGGCCAGTGAGGGGTACTTCAGTCAATCACAGGAGGAGGAGTTTGCCCAATCGGAAGAGCTGTGTGCAAAGGCTCCACCTCCTGTGTTCTACAACAAGCCTCCAGGTAGTACTGGGATGGATGCTGGGGAGGAGTTCGGGTGGGGGTGCTGGGTTTGAATGTGAGCAGGCAACCCCTCCGACACACAGCTGGCACAGCTCCCAGAGGTTGGGGGACACAATCATGGATCTGCTGGGCCATCTCCTTAACTCTGCTCTCCCAACACCACAGAAATCGACATCACCTGTTGGGATGCAGACCCAGCACCAGAAGAGGAGGAGGGCTTTGAGGGTGGCGATTAGTGGTGGTGCCCACCCTCAGGCTGCCCTCGCCAAGGCTGCCCACCCTTGCCAGCCTTTGGTCAGACGGCTCGCGGCCCGCCGCGCCTGCATTTGCAGCAGCTCCGCCTGGCACCCACTCGGATTCTGGCCCTGGCCAGGGACTTGGCCGCTTCCTTACCCACAGGGCCTGACTTTTACAGCTTTTCTCTCTCTTTTTTTTTTAAAGTTGATAGGAGACTTGTACAGTTGACTGGTTTTCCTCCCGTTGGTAGTTGAGACGCTGTTGCAAATTCCACTCCCTCTCCACCAGTCCAGATTGTAGCTCTTAGTCTTCCCTGCTCAGCTGGCCGGGGTGGAGGCCTCACCCTGCTTGGGGCCTGGCGTGGGGGGAGCTCTGGTGGGAAAATGTCCCCCACCTTTTTTCCTAGTTTTATGTTTTCTTGGAAAAATATCACTTTGTATTCTCTGTCCAGGGCTTCAGATATTTTGCACGAATTTTAAAACATGGCAATAAATGGCTCGTGGGCTCTGGCTCCCTGGGACCCCCTCCCTGCCCTTCTCTTGACCCCTCCCTGCCTGGCCCAAAGGAAGTAGCAGGCCCAGCTGGGGCCCCTCGGCTTCCCCGCCCTCTCCTGCCGGGCAGGTCCCAGGCTGGAGGCCCTAGGCGTGATTCAGGTCAGGGCTATGGATGGGGCCCAGGAGCTTGGGTGGCCCCTCCCCAACTCCTTTCTCTTTGCTTGGGTTCCTTTTTCACATTCAGTAACTGGTTTTTTGGAAAGCACAAACTTCTGTAACGGGTCGTGCTCATGTCTGTTAATAAAGAAATCCAGATCCCTTCAGGCCTGCTGTCCTGGGCCTCCAGGGGCTGATCTAGTGTGGGCGGCCTGCCTTGACCCCCCATTCCCAACTCTTCCCACTCCAAGGCTGCAGAGGGAGAGGCACCTTTCTGCTGCCAGGGAGTACCCTAACCATGATCTCAATGGCTGGCTAGGTGGCCTGACAAGGCGGTGTTGCGGGGGCGTTATCCAGTTTCCAGTGGCAGAAGAAGGCCCAGCTCAGCTTTAGTTCTGCATCCTCAGGCCAGCTTATAGCAGAAATGTGCATTCAGGTTCCTTCCTGCCAAGGCTTCAGTAGACCTGGTCACCAAAACCTTAAGTGCAAGCAGCAGGTCCCCCCTCCGCTTTTACCAAACCAGATCACACACCTTTATTATCCTCAAAATGTAACAAACGGGGTAAGAAATCCCTCCCTCCCCCCACCCCTCCCCGCAGTCCAAGAGAAGCATTTAAAAAGCCCCGCAGTCAGGCCAGGAGTCCGCCGGTGGGGCCCGGGACGCCGGGCGCCCCTCTATACGGCTGTAGTCCTCCCGAACAAGGGGATGGAGACCGGCAGGCGCCAAGCTCCGTGCTCCAGGGGCTCACGGCTGCTGAGCTCTGAGTCGGTCCAGCTCGGGAAGACTCGGCGGCCGCGGTCGGCCTGCAGACAGAGAGCAGGGCAGGGCGGCGCGGGCCGTGGGGCGCTGGGCAGGTGCAGCGCTGAGGTGTACCCCCGGTCCAGGAAAAGCGGCTTGTAGCTGGGTGGCGGCTGCTCCTGTTTCTCCGCGCTATCGCGGCGGCTCAGAAAGGGTGTCACGATCTTGCGGTAGAGGCCGCGAGTGTCCGTGAGCACCTCGCTGTAGGGCGGTGGCGGCTCGGCCATCAGCACCGCCTCTTCGTAACACGGTGGCTTGGACATGTCCGATTCCGCTGCGAAGTGGGAAGCGGTCCGAGGGGGGGTGAAGCCACCGTCCCCAGCCTCCCGCAAAAGCCCTGGCCAGCCGCCAACCCCGGCTCCAGCCCGCTCCCTCCTCCTAGGTTCTCGGGAAGGCTGCAGGTGAAAGCCTCGCTCTTAAGCAGTGAGCCCGCCCAATGGTGGGGCGCTGCCCACCCCTAGTGGTCCCCGATCGCCTCCTAGCAGAGGTTGGTACTTACCTTGGCGCGGGTAGCTCCAGGGCCGCGGCGGCACCGCGAGGTGAGGCGGCGGGGGGTGCGGAAGCGCGTGGTGGTGCGGGTGTGGGTGCGTGTGCGGCGGCGCGGGCCCGTGGTGCAGGAGCGGGTGCACGTGCACGTGCGGATGCGAGTGCGCCGGCGCCTCCAGGCGGCCGCGGTGCGGTGGCGGCGGCGGCGCCAGGCCCGGGGGGCTCCCGGCCAGGCTACCCTCAAGCTCCAGTGGCTCCAGCTCTAGGGCGCGCCGATTCTGCTCGCGT